TTATTTAAAAAATATATATATAAATATATAACTACCTATTACACCAACCAATAGGTTAAATGTGATCTAGCCAAGAAGAAATCTCCATTTTCTAGGTTTCTCCTTATTAATGTTTCAACTGCTTTCAATCAATTTGAAATCAGCTTCAAAGGAGGAAAAGAAAAGCAGTCATAAATAGTGGTATCGAGAGATTGACTACGGTTTACCATTTAATCGCATTGTTAACCTATTTTGATAGGCTATAGGTCAAAAGGAATGTGGAGTTTGAGCTTTAAAGCTTCTTCTACAGGGTGAGAGACATAGGATTCCACCACACTTAGTGATAGTTTTGTTGGAGCAATGAATTGGAAACTTGAAGTTGGACCAATGTAATCATGTACGATTTTATCATACAAGCAATTACCCTAAATACTTGATAATGAAAGAGACTCGTAACTCGAAAGTATGCACCAGTTTTTGTAGGTGTCATCTTCTCAAAGAAACCAATGTGGATTTGACAATTAGTACATTATTGGGGAGCTTTCGCTTTTCCAAAACGTTACATAAACATAATCCCCAGTAAAGTGAATACAACTATAAAAATGGAGACATCATAGTGTCATGTCATTAAAACTACTATTATTATGCTTAGTTTCAATTCAATCTCCCATAGGTGAAAGAAGGTAGTTGCCTGGATCAGCTTCTCCAGGGTCCAGCTTCTAAAAGATGAAATGGTTAGGATCATAAAGTTGTAGTCAAACAAAGCCGGTCTAATTTTGTCATCATTTGATCACACAGTGTATATCCAATAAGTCTCTTAAGCTAAGTAAACCTTTTACTCCAGTTCAGAGAGAGAGAGTGTGTGTATTGTTGGTTTATAACGACACATGGTTTTTAGAACCGGACCAGTTAGTGAACCGGTTATGCTATTAGGTCATTGGTTTAATTAGTCGAATCGGTTTGATCGGTCGAAAGAACCGGACGACTTCATAATTATTTTAAAAAATTAAATAAAAATACCAAAAAATATTTAATAAATTTTTATATCACAAATCATATTCAAAGCAAGTCATAACATATAGTTAAAACCATAAATCAAGTGAAACAAAATGATTCAAATTAACTACAACATAATATTTAAGGTAAAACATTAATAGTAAATAATTATATAACTATATTAAAAAATAAATTTGGGGTTAAAAAAATCATAACAAAATGATATTGTTTGGTTTATTTTTTTTTAAAAACAATCTCACATGGCTAAGAAACATAGAAGACATCCCAAAAGTCTAAAGAGTAAAATATGAACAAAACAATATCACATTGCTAAGAAACATAGAAGAGCATCACAACTAACTTCTATAAATAATAGATGTAATTTGACATTTAAAATTATGAAGCCTTTTGGTGAGTATTGAGTGAACTATTCTTTCACTTCAATCAAGCTCGAATTTTAGGCTTCAATCGAGCTTCCAAATTTTTTTGAGTTCAAGTTTTAATATTATATTTCGAGTTTGAGTTGAACTTGATAATTTTTAACTTGTGAGTTTGAGTTGAGTTGAACTTACTTTTAAAGTTTTCAAGTTTGAGTCGAACTCAGCGATACTCGAGTTCAACTTGGCTCGTTAACAAACGATGTTGTTTGGTTTAATTTTTTTTTTTAAAACAAAATTCCCGGGTTTTTCCGGTTTTTTCCGATTTTTCTCGGTTTTCAGTCGGTCCGGTTCGAACGGTTCAACGGTTCTGACCGGTTCACTAACATCGATTCAACCGATTTAAATTGAACCGGACTAAACAACGCTTCTCGATTGAATCGGTTGAACCGGCCGATCCGGTCCGATTTTCAAAACTAACAAGGCTGTGTTTCTTCTGAAAAGACTGAAGGAGGGGTGGGGTTTTTCACCAGGAACGAGGGAAGGTAGAGAAGAAGAGAATAACCATGATGACGATCCTTCTAAATATGCTTCCGTCTCTCCTCCTGAACCATCCAATCTGATTATTTTTTTTTTATCTTCTTCAGTCTCAAACCTCCCCTCTCTCTTTAAATAAGCGAACCTATCAACCGTAATTCAATTCTCTTGATTTCCTTTTCCTTCAAAGGGACTGTTTCCTTTGTTTCATGGGGGTTTGGCAAAGGGCTTCTTACAGAGTTCATTGGCATTCTGTCCACCTCGCATCATAGAACAAGTCCTTTTCCCTTCTATGGTCTTTCATGAGGTGGCATACTGCCAACTGGGCTCTGTTGGCTTCTCTTTGTAAAACCCTTGTGATGCATATCTTCCTTTGGAAAAGGATCCAGTTAGCTTACCATTCACAGACTATGATTATGTATCTTCATCCGTATATTTTAAGTCTTACTCTTTTGTATGCTATTTTTCCAGTATTGAATGATCCGAACTGCGGCAGCTTCCGACCCTTAAGTATTTTATCTTGTAATAAAGATTGCAGAGATAATAATAATAATAATGTTTATTCGGTACTTTGATCATTCTTCTGGCGTTTGCAGGGTTTGATTGCAGCAGTTATGTACAGGCTCCTGAGGTATAAGGAGGTGAGCAGCATTCACAAACCTTCTATCTGTATTTTTTGATCTCCTTTGAGGCCTTGACTTTTATTTCAGATCTGTACAACTTTAACAGATCAATTATATCTTCTTTCTCCTATGCTTTAACAGCCATAGAATATTTTTTGAAACGCTTTCTTTTGTTCTTGCTTTGCAGTTGAGCAATCTAGGGTTTTATCCTCTTTTGTTTTTGTTTGTATGTATCCGAGTCGGTAAGATCCATGATTAGAATATAGAACCATGAATTGATGTTAAAAAGCCCAGTAAACCCTAGCGTAATTATCATCTAAATCCAAAGGGCAGATATAAGAAGCTTTTGTCAGAGTTTCATGATGACTCTTAAACTTTATCATTTTTTTCATTTACTGAAATAGCTTTGTCTGATACTGTAAAATAATTAATTATCAGATTACTATGAAATGAAGAAAATAAGATTAGTTATGCCCATGGCCTAATGCATGATTGCCACCAATTACACAATGTCAATTATGAATTTATTTACTGTTGAGTATTTGTAGTTCAGGCCAAGTAGCCCTAGTCCTGGATATGCTTTCTACGTACTGTCAAACCTTTATGGATAGCCTCATTATTGAAACATTGGCAGTCATATTTTTAAAACGTGAATAAAAGTAAAAATGAAGCCACGAACAGGCCTTTGCAGTGCGTGTAGGAAAACATCCACTCACCCAATTCAAACAATGGTCAATCATATTTTCTCTCTTTTTAGCCAACTTCTCCTTTCTCTTATCTCTCTGACGCTAACATTTTTGAGTTCTCTTTTTGGATTTATGGAGGGAAGAATGCAAAAAATTATAGAGCATAATGGGCGATGCATCTTAAGAGAACAAAAGAGGGAACGAGATTTTGACAGTGAGAAAAGCAAATAGGAAATGTGCTTTACTACACTCTAGTAGGATTTTAATATTTGGCCGATCTTAGTATTTTTTTTTATTTAATTTTTTTATATCTGATCTATTAGTCGATTAATTCGGATGGAATATTACATAAAATCGTAAAAACGATACTCTCAATCCACTTTGTTTTATTCACAACATCGAGACTAAAATTTTTAATATTACTTTGAGGGTTATAAATTATAAGGATGATGAGTAGTGTCAAACTGCTCCCTTAGGTTCACACCTTACCTACTGAAATTGTAGAGATAAAAGAAATCTGTAGTTTGTTCAATTCTTTGGCTTTCATGTTGTTGAATTTACATACATGGGTAGTTCAAGTTTCAATGTACTAAACATGGGACACGGTGGCTATTTATGTAGTGTGTTCAAATTTATTAGGTTTTCCAGTACCAAAATGGCCCTTTAAACTGCCAAAACCCAATATAAAGAACCAAAAAGGAGAGGCAATTCTGAAGAATATAGTGTTGTACTTCACTTCTCTAATCTGTACTTTCTGATGTATGAAATTTATTGGGTTTAAATTTGAATTCTAGGGATTGGTTTTGCTTTGATTTAGGAGAAATTGTAATATATATAATATTCAAATTATTAGAAAAACATTTACATTTCAATTTTTTTATCATAGTTGTTTGATTAAAGAAATGATTAATTTATATTTTTACAACTTTTGGAATCGTTAAACGGAATTTTATCCTCTATAATCCGAATTCGAGCAGCCTAGTCTACATGTATACAAAAGTTTAGATATAAATATTTTTTCAGGAATAAATAAATGGTTCTTTTAATTTATCTATTGATCTATTAATGTGTCATTTTATTTTAAAATTATTAAAATCTAATAAACAACAACAATAATATAGATTAAAGCATATAATATAACAATGATAAACAAATATATAATACAATTATAGTTTTTCATGACATAATATATACAATTATACATTTTTTATAGTTTAAGATGATTATAAGGTAATATATGTTTATAAATTAATTTAATCATTGACGACGTACTTACACCCTATAAACGCAGTTGTTTAAACTCAAAACTTCGAAGGAGAATAATATTTTTTTTTAATTATTGAAGTTACTTAATAAATTCATAAATACAATTATATTTTTGTAACAATATCTACTTAGAGAAGAGGAATAAAAATTTTGCTCTTAATCAATATTAAACCTAAAACTTAGGGCAGAGGCAAAACCTACTCATGAGCCCCTTTTGTTTGTTTCTTTTTAAAATTTTATGATCTGTAGTCTGTCTAAAATTTATAGTTTTATTTTGGATATATATATATATATTCCCACTTACCTAACATTTATTGATTTATAATAGAAAAAATAAATCTTCAATAAAAACAAGCGCATATAAAATTTGACCGTAGAAGAATAATTAATTATTCCGCCACGTTGTGCTTGTAGTATATCCCATGTTTAATTGAATAATTATTAATTAGTATTTCATCCAAATTACTCGCTCAACCAACCAGCAGCTGTCCAAATTGATCCTCTAGAGTATATACATCGGATTCATTTGACCTCTTTAATTGCACCTCGCAACCCAATCTGTTAGCCATCAAATAATCATCTTTGAGAAGCTTCCATGGTGGATAATTCTGCTTGCAATCCGGAGCTCGTTCTTGCTCATAAGTTCAGCGAGGTATCTCTTTTTCTTCAATGGAATCCCTATTTCTAGATTTATTTCTGTTATCTGACCTTTACCCTAATCTTATTTGCAGGAAATAATTACTTATACGGAGAGGTCCCTCCCCCAAAACTTAATATATGGTAGCTTCTTTTTATCTGATATGTATCCTTGTTCACAGAGATGTAGCTGTTTATGCTTTGGGTGTTGGAGCATGTGGTCGCGACGCCGTTGATACCGGTGAACTTAAATATGTTTACGATGAAAACGGACAGCAGTTTATCAAGGTCATCTATCATGTTAAGATTGATCAAACTAAAGAACAAAGATGATTTCCGCACCGTGATTCTAAATTTGCATATCAGTGCTTTGTTTCTTGTTGTGATCTAGCTTAACTTGTTAGATTAAGGGTGAATTGGAATTGTATTTTGGATTACTTAAAACTAATTTGAACTGCAAATGGGGTGCCTAATCTGCCCAGAATTGAGTAAAAAATAAACACTTCTGTGTTCTTCGCTTGGGAGGCAGTGGAGTTGTCTTTGTCTGCTTGTAACAAGCCATTGGCGCTTGTTTCCTGTAAGTTTACTTATGGATATAATATAATACCTTCCCTAATTTCTGCTTCTCAGGTTTTGCCAACATTTTCTACTTTATTTTCACTTGGAGTTCTGCCACAAATTTGTTCTATGCCTGGCTTACAGTAAGTTTTAGCACATATCATATACCTGCTCTCCTCTTTCTCAAAATTAATCCCGTCTCTCATTGTCTCTTCTATTGACTTTAAAGCTTCAAAATATGAACACCTGAAATTTTCTACTTTTTGTTCTTAACAGATTCGATAAACGTCTTGTGTTGCATGGACAACAATACATAGAGATATACAAGCCACTTCCTGCAAATGCTACTGTAAGTCTATAATACTGCCAATTGTCATATTGTCTATGATATGCCTGAATGTGTGGTTAACTCAAAATTTTATATATCTGGTTCCATGTCAAATTTAAGTTTCTCAGAATACATATATCCAACTATCCAAGGTTGAGAACTTCATCTCGATTATTTTAAAAGCAGTGTTCATAAATTTCATTCTGCATACTTTTTTAGACATTTGGTGTCAAAGTTGTTTTGAAACTGCTATATAATACCAGAGTTCCAGAGTTAATTATTGTTATTATTAACTTTTTTTTTGTTGCAGATACACAGCAAAGTAACTGTAGCAGGATTGCATGATAAAGGTTTGTACTCATCATCTCGACTGAACTATTGTAAAGATCAAGTTGTTTTATGGAAGTATAAATCTGTTTCTCTCTCAGTCTTTTGCTTTTATCGTTGTTTCTGTATTTAAAAAGTGAACTTGCTAGGATAATAAGCACAGAGAAGTCTCTTGTTGCTTGCTTCCTAATTTTGTTAACCTTGGGAAAAACTGTAAAAAATGAAATAGAAAGAGGTGTGGTATCTGCAAGTATGTTTTGTAAGGGTAGTCTTGATGGCTTTCCCCCTTACCTTGAAATATCAGGTAAAGCCTCTGTTCTTGAGATTGAAACCAGAAGTTATAAGAAAGAGTCCGGTGAACTATTAAGCTTGAACAGGTAAGTTCTCTTTCTCCACTGTCTGATCTAGCAAGTTCGTGTTGCGGTTTGTTAATGTCTAAATGATTCCACAGGACAAGTGTTTTCCTACGGGGTGCTGGTGGCTTCTCAGATCCATCTAAGCCCTTTACATACTCGAACTATCCGGTCAATCAGACTTCTATGAAAATCCCAAAAACTCAACCTTTTGCGGCTTTTGAGGATTGTACCCAACCATCTCAGGCATGTAGCAACAATATTATAATCTAATCCTAAGAGCTTTTATGTTGCTTTCAAAATAACATGACATGTTCTTCAATTATAATCATTATATATATATATATATATAATTTATAGTTCATGGATTAGTTTGATCTTACATCAACTTCTGCTTCAAGGCTTGTACTGTGAGATGCATTTTTTATGATGCTAGTTTCTCCAGAAGTTTTGAAATTCTCTTTTGCTTTGGCAGGCATTATTGTATAGGTTATCTGGTGACTACAATCCTCTGCATTCAGATCCTATGATTGGGAAGGCTGCAGGGTTAGTTTGCTTATTCTTGTATTGAGGCTATGGTTGCATTTAATGCAAAATTTTGGTAGTGTCAACCTCATTTGCATCCTGAGCTTCAATGTTGATTTATGCTTTGTTATCCCATGCTCGTAGATTCTCGAGGCCAATTTTGCATGGATTGTGCACCCTTGGGTTTGCGGTACGGGCAATCATAAAATGTATTTGCAGGGGAGACCCAGACATGATCAAAAACATCTTTGCACGATTCCTTTTACACGTGTATCCTGGTGAAGCATTGATAACTGAGATGTGGATCGAAGACTTCAGGTAGACATTTTACGTTCGATATCTTTTTCTGTTATATTCAAATGAATGGAGATCTGATGCTGGTGTATTTGCAGGGTCATTTATCAGGTAAAGGTGAAAGAAAGGAACCGAGCGGTGCTGTCAGGCTATGTTCAACTCCACCATCGATTAGCAGCTTCACTATAAATGAACTTTATGCATTACTCAAATAAACATATTTAAAAGTTTCCAAGCTTTGGACGCGTAAGTTTGTTATTTTAATTGAAGGGTGAATTGCTGTGTCCAACTTAGTGTTATAACTGCTGCTTTAAAGTGCAAACCTCATAAATAGGTGAGTTGCTGCCTGGAAAATAAAAGCGAGCAACTCACGGAACGATTGTTAGCATTTGGGAATGTCGAGCATTAAATGCACGCAACTTCTTTATGTTTGTTCTACTAGTCATCTATGGTTGTCATGATCTTGTTATTACTATTTTTCCCACGTGTGTGAATATATATATATAAAGCAGATTGAACCAGCTTCAGTTTTAAAAGAAATAAATGGGTGAAGCCATGCAAAATTCAGTTCTGTAATTCGACCATACAGATACAAATTCCAAGAGAGAGAGTTACCCACTACAGAAGAAAAACAAAAAGGTGCCTCTGAGATTGAGATTGACATTGGAATCGAAGATTGCCATCCTCACATTCTGTCTTCTCTCTTCCTTGGAGTACATGTAATGATTTCGTTGACTCTAAGAATCATCTCAGCAGCCTCGGTTCCAGACAGCGATACAGCTTGCTTGACTTTGAAGGATTCAGAGATTCCTAGCTCAGCCATATCTCCTACGGTCCTACCTGTTTATATAGGTCGATCGTCAAAACATAAAATTGGTCACAGCAACAAGGAAGAGAAATTATAAGGATCAGATGTCAATGGAATACAGTAATGACCCATAAGCATATCAGTAACTGAATCTATAACATTAGGACAGATATTTCCAAGTAACTTTCACTCTTTATACAACAAGGTTCACGTTTAGACTCATCAGTCTGTAACTATACTAAGCATACATGTATCTTTTAAGATACAACAACTTACTGACCGGACATATGTGACACCAGCCATAAACAAACTCTAGCCTTATTCAAACAAACTACAGGCAACAAAAATTCATTAGATTCAGTTTTGATTTTTAAAATAATTAAATTCCAGCACTTACAGATCCAGTGATGACATCAATCCCAGTATTGCATCCCTCCTTATGGTGCTCTGCACGAAGCTGAGCTACCAAATCTGCACTGTCCAGACCAGCATTGTCAGCAATAATTGTTGGGATGGCTACAAGAGCCAGCGAGAAAGCTTCAACCGCATGAGACTTCTTCCCGGGAGTCTGGCGTACTAGCTCATCCACTGCCTTTGCCATTACCATCTCAGGCCATCCACCTCCAAGAACTACTCTAGTGTCATTGACTGTCTGAGACAGCACACACAAGGCATCATGCAGAGACCTTTCAGCTTCATCCAGCACATGATGGCTGCCATAAACAGTAGAATGTCACGGACAAAGCAAACATCTCAAGCAAGGAGAACAACTAGGGGACACAACTCAACACTGTACCTTGCCCCTCTCAACACAATAGTACAAGCCTGACCCATTTCAACACCGGAAAAGTGAATTAACTTGTCCTCCCCAATCATAATTTCTTCAATAAGCTTGCAATGTCCAAGCTTAACCGACTCTGGGTTGTCAAAGGTTGATGCAATTTCACCACCTGTTACCAAAGCCAGACGCTCTATCCCATCAAAATCCGCATGCTCAATTGCAAGTACGACTGCATCTGCAAAGAGTTCTTCAGGGAAATTGTAAATCAACTGCCTATTAACAAAGCAGTTAATCCCATGTGTTATGATCTTTTGCACTTTTTTTCTCATCTTTTCCTTTTCAGCCCCTTCAATTTCAGCAACCTTCGACATTGAATCAACACGAGCGCGTGCACCATATATTTTCACTTTATCAGTATCCATTGCGGTATTTGCAACCAAAATATTGGCATTTTCTATCCATTTTGGATGCCCAAGCCCTATTTTCTTGTCAAGAATGAATCTGGGATCATTAAATTTAAGTTTAAATCAATAAATCAGATTATGGGAAAGGTTGAAATACTGGTGCACCAGACAGTCCCAACAGAAAACTATAACAGTAAACGAAGGCGATTAGAAGCTCATAGTAATTCACCCTTCATCTAAGAAAGAATCTTTCAAAGATCCCCCAGGCTTCTTGATAATTTGGATGGCCTCTAAATTTGTGCTCCCCTGCAGTTGCAAGTCAAATCCATACAAATATCATAAGGATAAATGAAAAAAAGTAATAGAACAGGTGAAGGGGAATTCTAAACACAATTATGAATCAAACAGCATTGAGACGCTTATATTTAATCTTAAAATGTTAGATACAGAAAAATTATCACCTTTAACCTCATAACAGCATCCACAGTAGTTGTGCAAAATACATCGTATCCTGAGAAAGAATTTTGGAACTCAAAGTGGTCATTGCAATTTTCATCAAGTCCGACTTGAATTTCACTGCAAATTTCAGAGTCGCCATGAGCTATATAAGAAGCAAATACAATAAACACAAATTCTAATGGCAAGAATAAGTCAATTACAGGTTTTATCAAGTCAAACAAATTAATAGGATATAGTTCAAACAGGAATCAACAAAGCCTAAAGCGTTGGGCAAATAATACAAAGTACAGACATATCATGCAATCCATACACACACAAAAATGAGTGTATTAATAATATACAACAATCTTCACCTGCATTTTCTTTGTTATCCATAACCCTCTGCAACAAAGCATTACGAGCACATTCGGCTGCCATTCGGTAACCTATAAAACCAGTAAACATTGTTATAAGCTCTGAAACTTAATTTATTTGGCAATTGGCACATTAACAAAATAAAAGATATGGTTTAAGGGAGATAACCAAAAAATCTTTTTGTCACGGGTTGAATTTTTGGGCCAATCTTTTTAAATTTTATATTATATAAGCATATCAGAAAAAAGAATCACACTGCTAACATCCCTGATTCTTTTCTTTGTCAATGCTATATAGATATGAAAACTAGATAACAAGTTAAAACTCACAGCAATTTAGTTCCTTTGCTATAATACCACATGCAACATTTAGCAGAAAGAAAAAATTATATAGGAGTGAACCATGACATGCAAGGTGTTGTACACAAGAAGAATAGGAAGCCAAGTACTAAACAAGGCCAAAGGAACCTGATATCATAGTCATGGGATGGATCTTGGCAGCCACTAGCTTTTCTGCCTCCCTTAAAAGTTCTTCAGCCAAAACAACAACAGATGTTGTCCCATCACCAACCTCATCATCTTGAACTTTGGAGATATCTGAATTTCAAATTAAGGTTGTAACCTAGTAAAATAAAAGCTCTTTCCAAATAAAACCAAATGATCTGTTAGCATGGCTTATTGAATCATTTACAGTTCTTCCATGAACTCTTGTGTACCAAAACAAAATTCATCAAACTCCTGTGAGTTTTAAAATGTTGAAAAATCCAACAACCAATTTACTCAAAAAGAGTAGTCAAGACAATGTAAATGAACAAGGATACCAATTAAAACTTTTCAGCAGGGTTGTCAATATGCAGGGACTTTAGGATGGTAGCTCCATCATTAGTAACAGTGACTTCTTGTCCTCTGCCTGTTGACTGTAAAATTTTAAAAGTAGAAAACAAAAACTGTTACTCACTAATTCACATACACAATGTGGAAAAACTTACCATTCCTTTTGGCCCTAGGGTTGTCTTAACCAAGTCAGTAATTGCAATTGCCCCAACAAATGATGCCTGAATGTAATAAAGCTCATGAATATCACATGTTTCTGAAAATAAGATGCCCAAAATAACAACAATGCAGCACCAATATAATCCCATAGTTTCAAACAAGTGGTAGAAATTTGTTTTTATTTAAACCATTTCATCAGCGTTCAAAACATATATATATATATATATATATATATAATATATATATATATATATATATATATAACTCACCATTCTGGCACGCTCTCCCTTCCCTTCACTAGCGTCATCTTTAAGAATTCTTTCAATCTATCACATTTACCAAATAAAAGCAAATAAAAATTCAAACAAAAGCATAGAAAATTTACCCAACTTAAAAGGAGTGTTATCAGGCAAATAACGCACAACCATGGCATATAGCGAGGTCGAGAATAGCTCAAGTTCTGGTGCTCAATTAAAACCCTGAATCGGGGGGGGGGGTGGCAAAAACAAAGCAGCATCTTTAATCTAACAATGAAACAAAACGAAACACATCCAAATGCTGCTTAACAAACCAAAATTTTGTATAGTAAGCCGATGAAAAAAGCCATTTTCAGCACTTCCCGTATACATTCATTTCCTCATTTAACAACTCACGAAACCAAAGTAAAACCATAATCCGGATAAAAGGAAGTGAAAAAAGAAACCAATGCTTAAGTTTGAGAGACCCCAGAAATGTTAGAAAAGAGTAAAGCTTTTACCGGATCTTAAGCGCGATATGTAAAACTTGAGATCGAAATCCGACCGGAGAAAATAGAAACGAGGTCTGGGTTTTGCTTGCCCGGGGACTTCCCTTGCTCCACTACAAATAGAGTGAGTTATTCAGTTTGCGTCTGAACTATGAAAGAACTCAACCAAATTCTCGCGAAATAGGAATTGTTGAGAAGAGGGCCGGCTGTCAACTCTTAATTAATGGGCTTTTAGATCCCAATTTTGGTCCTATAAGGCCCATGAAGTTTATGCATTGAATTTTCCACAACTAGTACCAAAATTCGACTGGTTCAAGCTTTATTAAGGTTAGGATCCGCATTCATTAGTCCCTGCGTTTAGGTTATTAATCAGTAAGAGTGTAGATTAAAGTAAAAAAAATTAGTGTATTAAATATTAATTTATTAGTTAACTTTTTGTTAATTAATATATTTTGTATGAGTTGTGAATTTAATTTATGCATTCTAATTAGATTATTTTAGTTTTGTATATTTTACATTTTAAAATTTCAAATTCTTACTCAAATAATAATAGATAAATTTTATGATTACGATATTAATAAGATAGCAACAACAATCATTCATAGTTGGAAACTTGAACAATACAATGAGAATATAGATCTGACCAAAAAAAGAAAAGAAAAGAATGCGACCTCGAGCTGAGGTCCACTAATTACGAAGTTATGATAATGCATACTAACCAGAACACAATCAGCTATATATTATAT